GAAACATGGTCACCGTTGACCGAGTTTCTGAAACACTACAAAGGACATTAAGAGAACTGTGCAGAGATTGCTGAACTTTATCTTTATTTAATTTTTATGTATTTTATTTTAATTTATTTACTCATTGTTATTATTATTACTTTTATTGTTTATGTGTGTGTTTTATTTTTTTTTTTATTTTTTGCTTCGGGGACTGAGTTATTTTAATGTGAATCTGTATTAAGTGTACCGTTACCACTTGTTTTTCTTTATGTTATAAAATTCAATAAATATAATGTAGAAAAAAAAAAAGGAGGTGACCCAGCTGTTTTAACTAACTACAGGCCAATATCAAATTTGTGTGTTTTGTCAAAGATTCTTGAATCTCTTGTTTGCGATCAACTAAAAGAGTTTTTATATTCTAATGAACTTCTCTCAAAACTGCAATCAGACTTCAGGAAAAAAGCACAGCACCGTCACTGTGGCCACTAAGGTGATAAATTATATAATTGTTGCTCTTGATCAAAAGCAGTACTGTGCATCTCTTTTTATTGATCAAAAGCTTTTGAAACTGTGGACCATGCTGTCTTAAAGTACAGACTTTTTTGTTTGGGAATGTCTGATCATGTGGTTTCCTGGTTGCCAAATTATTTAAGTAACAGGACTCAGTGTATTAAATATGATGGCTTGCCTTCTGATTTTATGAATGCACACAAGGAGGTGCCATAGGGTTCAATCTTGGGTCCCCTCCTGTTCATTATGTACATTAATGACTTAGGAAAAAAACGTGTCAGATGCTAATATGCATTTTTATGCCGATGACACAATTATTTATTGTTTTGGATCGACTGTTGCTAAAGCTGTAGAATCTCCGCAGAGAGCTTTTGATGTTGTCCAGCACACATTCCTGCAGCTAAAGTTGGTTCTCAATGCTGATAAGACTAAACTAATGCTATTTGGAAACACCAAAAAGGTGCCTCTGACGATCCCCACTGTGTCCACTTTTGAAGGAAATATTATAGAGATGGTTCACACATACAAATATCTTGGGTTCTTGATTGATGACTCCCTCAGTTTTAAGCCCCACATCCAAAACCTTGTGAAAAAACTTTAACTTAAACTGGGCTTCTTTTTTAGAAACAAAATAATTTTTTCTTTTACGGTTAAAAAGCGGCTTGTCACAGCGACATTTTTATACATTTTAGATTATGGAGACTTGTTATATATGAATGCCTCAGCACAATATCTTAAAAAATTGATGCTGTCTATCATGCTTCTCTGAGGTTTGTTACTAACTGTAAAGCCTCAACTCATCATTGTGATCTGTACACTCGTGTGGGATGGCCTTCGTTGTCCACCAGGAGGCTGGGACATTGGTACACTTTTATTTATAAGGTTTTGCTTGGGCTGCTACCATCTTACATCTGTAATCTAATCACACAAAAAAGCGTTGATTCACACTCATTGCGTTCAAATGATTGTTTCTTGCTCTCTGTCCCATTTCTCTGTACAGAATTGGGGCTTTTGTTTACTCTGCCCCATCTACATGGAACATGTTGCAAAAAGTCTGGAAGTTAACTGAACTGATCCCATTGACCGCCTTTAAATCCAGATTGAGGGCATTAGAAATTACTTCCTTGAATTGCGAATGTTTTTAATAGTGATTGTTTGTATTGTGTTTTAACTGTGTAACTCTATGTAAATGTACACTTTTTGCTGCCTCTTGGCCAGGACTCCCTTGAAAAAGAGGTTTTTAATCTCAATGGGACTTTCCTGGTTAAATAAGGGAAATAAATAAAAATAAATAAACAAAATATCTCTGCTGGAATATTAATGTAATGTATGAATGTAATGCAAAACTGACTTCACTGAAAAGGGTAATATTTTTTCTATTAAAACTGTCAAAGTATTTAAATTAAAGTTGTTTAAGAGCAGTCTGGCTAGCCATTAGCTCATCAAACTGATCAAAACAAATCAACATTTCTTCAAACCAAAGAACTTAAATGTACTCATTGCAGAATATTAAATCAAACACACTAAAGGTTAACTATATGCAGTTTGTAGTAGATGTTTACTTCTGTAGTTTTCTACATAGAGGGATTTGCAATTCTGAACTGCAGGTACACACTGAATGTAAACAAATCATTTTCATCTGCACTTTACTAAACCAATCGGAGCATAAATACTTTAAAATTATTGAACACCTCAATTCCAAACAGCTCTTCTGTGGACATCGCCCTTGTTGACCTAACTTTTCGTCACTTTGGCTGTTTCTGTCTGCAGGTAAGATATAGATTGTTTACAACCTTCCCAAAGAATCCAACTACAAAATATCTGAACTGTTGCCTTAAAGCAAGCCTGGTTGTGGTGAACTTTATACATATTTCTGGACTGACAAAAATTTCTGTTTCATGCAACAGTTGTGATATTCATCTCTTAAACACTACAAGTCCTGATACATGTTTTCTGTCTGCACTGAACAGCTTGACTGAAGGTTTTACAGATATTAGAGCCCAAAATGCTCCTCTGAAGGTCCACAGCCACCGCTGTTATTGTTCATGCTAATATCCCTCTTGGCTCCATCTCTCCTCCTCATTTTGTTCCTCACTCTGTCAAAAGTCTGAAAGCCACACTCTTTGTGGATGTCACACAATGGCGCCCACAGCATTGTCCACATCCCAACCATGTCTTCGTTCTCCCCTCCATCCTCACTGATCAAGAGAGCCTCCCCCTGCCCTGCCTCTCTTTTGTCCCTCCCTGCTGCCTCCCACCCACCACTCCTGCTGCCAGGCTCCCAGCCTCCTCGCTGCAGCCACCTCCCCTCCCATCCCCCGGAGCTCCATTGTGAGTGTTTGGTTCGGCAGCCTCCTCGCTCCCGCAGTATGCAGCTCTGCCTCGCCGTCGCTGTGCAGCCCGAGCCAAAACGCAGGCACAGCCTTCCCCACGTTGGGCTCAGGGGAGGGGAAGGGAAGCACTTCTCGCTGCAGGCCCAAGCCAGGAAAACAAGACAGTGGGAGGTTATCTAAAGGCTGTTAACCTAATTGTTTCCTCGAACCTAGAAAACTGCTCATTTCCTACAATATGTGTCTGCTTTCTTCATTTATTATTATTATTATAATTTTTAAAGGATTCACTTTTAGAAAAGAAAAAAAGCTTGTTGAAAACCTGCTTACACAACACTTTCCTAATGAGCTGCTTGGTAACAGCATACACTCTGGCGGGTGCTGAGCACATTTGACTGATTTAAAACCCGAGATTTAAAAACTGAGGTCTGCAACTCAACCTCAAATGAATTTATTTTGATATAATCACAGAAAATGGCACTATCTTTACACAAATTGCTTCTTAAAATAAATCCTGCAGCAAAAATGTAAGTATTTAGTTTCTAATTCGAGTTTGTCCCGCTCAAACCTTACTTATTTGTCATCATTTGTCATGCGTACAGACTCAATAAGCTCAGTGTTTATGAATAATTCTCATTTTTAAGTACTCTGAGAGAACATTTGGTGATATAAGTCAGGTTTCTAGTTCGGTCATTTGACTGGATTTTCTATTCCTTCCCCTTAAAACCCTTGGATTGCTGCAATCTCTGACCTTTGGCAACTCTTAATTCTGCCCACAGATGTGCTGCTGGGCAGGGATTGAGGCTGACGCAGCTCCATGTGCTCAGTCTGTAAAAACGAAGCATAGATTGCATGTTTGACTATTTCAGATATTTCTGTCACTGTGAATCTCACCCTGCAGGCAATGGTACTGCACAACACAAAAAAAAGCTTTGTGTTTTAGTCTCAAAGTATTTCAACTAACTTTATGCTCAGTTTAATTCACTAGATGATACATTTCCTTTCTTATGTAACCGCTTTCTAGTTCCATTTATAGCTTAACCTCTTTTACATTCAGAGTCATGAAACAAGCTCAGTATTTATTTAATTTGTGCTGAGCAAAGAGTAATACTCAGCCAGGGTCAGAGAGAGTGTTCCTCATTAATCCACTATTTTATAATGATGCTGATAATTAAAGGAGCATGGCAGAAAGTGCCAATGAATGACTGACGGGGAGATAGATTTAAGTAATTAATACCAAGCAGTGAAAGTATTTGACTGATTTGCTTGCACAGCTGCAAACGGCATTTGTTTGAGCTTCTGATTGAATTCTGATAATTAAAAAAGTAAAAGGCCTGATGCTTTACATTCCCATCATGATTTGATTCTGAAACCCAGACTGATATTATTACATAACAAAGACTGACGCTCCCAAACCTGCAAAAACAAAACCTAAAAAAAAAAAAAAAAAAAAAAAAAAAAGAAAATGGAACTAAAATCCTGATATCAAATGCTCATGGCTGTTTCCATTAATGATCCAACATTACGTTCACAAGCACTGCCCTCAGCTAGTCAATGCCCTCAGTTATCAGTTGGTGAAATCCTGCAGTGGCAAATCAACAACAGATTGTTTCATAATGCTGAGACTACATATCTGGAATGTTTATCCACATGTGTTGTGAAAGTGAACAAAGTTAAAGGCCAGTTATTACTAGATGTGCTCTATCAGTCACTGCAGAAACATCACTATAATAAAGCTTTGTTTAACTGCTAAGCTCTGCTCCCTGCAGTGCTTTCATAAGCATGGAAGCACTGCTCCTGAATTATTCAGCACCCAAGGTCACGGCGTTGAAAACCGGCCCTATGCTGCCTCGAACATGAGGACTTTGTTGTGACACCTTTAAACCTTTACGGACTTCACAGCCCAGCTCTGGCGATTAATCCGTGGCTGCGAGGGACAGTGATTTTAAACCAACCAGAAAGCTGAGTGATGCCACAGCCTAACCTCCACCTGGTTTGTTTTCTAACGAGGCATTTTTCAGGGGATCTAATGAAGTGCAAACAAATGCTCCCAAACAAAGCTGATTTAGAGGAATGACCTGTTAGCCTTTAATCCCCGCCTCTGCCCGATCAGTGTCTCAAGTTCAGTTTTATTGACGAAAGCCAATCAAAGAGAAAATCCCTTTATGCACAAACACAAACAGCTCCGGCGCCCAAAACGTCACGAATCCGTTCGGCGACTCTACTTCCCAACTGAGGATTGAGTTTAGCTGGTTCCTGCATCCCGGAAAAAGTAAGCGATGCTCTGCATAATGCACAAGGTGCGCAGCAGCTGACTCCTGAGGGGGAGGAGAGAGGAGGCAGCCCTGCATGATGAAGGCCTGCACTACAGCATGTCAGCCTGTGTTGTGGAGAGAGCATCATTCACCAAAATCATCCATTTGCAATCAAATATACAAGATGTGGCCCAGGCTGTAAACATTTATTTTATACAACGCAGGTTCATGGATTTTAAAAAAATGGAGGGTTATTTGCTGTTTTGTTTTCAAGCAAAAGCCCATGAGCTTTGTGTTTGTCAGGAAACAAAAAGCTCTGTGGTGTTTGCAGGAGATGGAGAGGCAGGTCAGCGCCATAATGCTGCGAGTTAGAACAGCTGAAGATGTTTTTTTGGGAGGGGTGTGTGTGTGTTTGTGCAGGAAGGTGTGTGTGTGGTGTGGGGGGTGGGGGGTCATTTCCCACCGAGGCATCACTATAATAGTGGACTTCATTAACCTTTCATTTCAATCAATACCCAACCCTCCTGCCTGGCAGCAGCTGCTGCGGGGGGGTCCGACCCTCGCCGTGTCTGAAGCGGCCTTACCATTCCTCCGTGCCAGCTGATGACGATCCCAGTCCGGTGCCAGTCCTGCTCAAAGCATCCCGACCACAAACACCGCGGAGACCATCGCTGGGCGCGCGCTGATGGAGACGTTCATGCAGACAACGGCGGAGGAAACAATTCACACACAAAAAGAAAACCCCAGACAAAAATACAAAGATATAAAAAAAAAAGAAGAAGAAGAGTGTGATGAAGAAATGAAAGAAGCGGAGAGGTGGACGGAACCGAGGCTTGCTGATGCTGATTCACTCTCCTCCACCCCCCTCCTCCTCAGCTCACCACCTTGCAACCATTGTGCTGCTGCAAGATGCTGCCTGTACCATCATGGACCTACCGGGGCTCAGACAGAGAGGAAGAGAGAGAGAGAGAGAGAGAGAGAGAGGGGAAGGGAGGAAAAAAAGGAGGGAGGAGGGAAATGAGTTGCCATAGCAACCGCTCAGGAGCACGTCTGACGTCAAAGCCCGAGCGGAGAGAGAGGAGAGAGGGAGGAAGAGATCACGTGGAGGCTGTTTCCTCAGGAGGGGAGGGGCGGGTGGTGGGAACATCCCACGCTCATCCTCCACTGTCCCACCACCAGCAAACATCACCAGGCCCGGAGAAAAACACGGAGCTGAGCGCGTCCCACATCTGGCAACAATCAATTAATTAGAAATGGTCGCAAACATCTGGACCTCAAACCCACCAGCTAAACGTGCAATAAGAATAAAGAGGTGAATAAATAATGCAACTGAGGACATGAGACATCTCTGACTGTCCTCAGAAAGGTGCTAGAACAAAACAACACAGGCAGTAGTGATGGGAGGTTTGGCTCTTTTCAGAGATCCGTCTCTTTTGGCTCCCAAATTATGTGTTTTTATGTCTTATATCTTGTAATTAAAGCACTTTGTGTTTTCTGACCTGTGAAAGGTATAAATAAAGATTACTTACTTACTCTTAACTCATCATCTGCTGCCTCAAATTTTAGCTCAACTTATATGAATGCTTTGCAGAGTTGCACTTATGTAGAATTTTTGGGTGTCTGTACTTTACTTGAGTAATTATTTTTCAGCCTACTTTTTACTTCTACTTCTTACATTTCCACGCAATTACTTGTACTTTCTACTCCTTACGTTTTTAAAAGAAGCAAGAAGTAGAAAGTCATTATTTTTATTTCATTTTTGCTTGTTTTCATTCCAGCTTGTTATTGTAAAAAAATAAATACTATCCATAATTTGTGCCTCCTAGATAGAGAGAATTTAATTGTGGTTGAATGAGAAGTATAAATATATAAAATTCTGATACCCTATTAGTTTGTACACAAACAAATCTTAATCATTAAAATAAAAGGACTATCCTATCCTATCCTATCCTATACTATACTATACTATACTTAACTATACTATACTATACTATACTTAACTATACTATACTATACTATACT